CACGCGTTTTGCTCTGGCTTCCGCTTGTTCGCGTAGCACACTCATGTTTCTGAGAAAAGTGATTCCAAAGTGAATCTTTACTCACTGAAACAGTTTCACCACATTGTTGTTCTTGCTGTACATTCTTGTCATCTATATGTTTGATAAGAATAGTACACTTGTATGATTTATCAGTTTCCTTTGTGAAATACTTTGCGAATTCCATCTCGGCCAATTTGTGTAACAGTCTTGATAATTGTACAGATGAATTCTGCGTAGATTTGGGCACGCCTCAGAATTGTAGTGTAAGCGGTATCAGAGCGAAATTGGAGCGAGACAAAGCGACTGCTCCAGTCTTAATTAGAAAACCCGCTCCGCGCTCTGACCAAATTCCGCCCGCTCCGCTCCTCGCTCACGCTCCGCTCAGCTCACATGCTCTGTTCCACACCACAGACGATGCACCTTTTTTCTTTACAATCTCCTCCTTGTTGGTTTCGTCACATGTAAGCAAACTCACCGCTGCACCGTCTTCTTCCATTGTCGAAGTGAATGTGTATTGCGTGGTTACCCAACGTGCAACGTCACGTGATCTCAATCGCGATTAAGACGATAGACCAAAATCTCTATCGGTTGACAAATGTCTACCGGTTAGTCGAGTCTACCGGTATATCGCCCACCCCTAATATCACATGTCGCCTCATGTTGTGATGTCATTCTGCACCAGTACAGGTTTTTACAACAGGGGAAAACCAACACCTTGAAGCACCTTGGTACCTACTTGAAGTACTAAAAGCACGGAATCTGGTGCGGTGGAAAAGCCCCCTTTAGTTGAGCGATTAATTGGACAGCTTTGCAGTGTTGTACATTTCATACATGCTGTATGTTCTCTGCTATGCTCCAAACTACTTCTGAGTACCAGCTTCTTCTGTTACTACCAAAGGGATACTGTGGAGCATGAGCAGAGCACCTAGGCCAGTTTGAATCTGATTGAACATATACATGCAAGAGTAAATCGGCTCCCAATCGCATTATCTGGGTGTCTTAGTTCGACTTTGAGAAATTCGACTTGGTGTGATTTCAGTCGGACCGTCATACTTTAAAAGTGCAGTTTTAGTCAGACTCAATAATTTGATTTTCTTAGTATGTATGTAAACGTACTGATTGGCAGCTCAGGGCCCTAAACCTGTTTCCTCCCTGAGTCCCGCATTTGTTTCCAAACCCTGCTCAGCCTACACCTTTACACCCACACCCAGCCATCTCCCCCCCCCGATTTCCATACCGATGGACAACTTACAAAACTTGACAGATTAACAGTGCCAGAGAGTTAGTGACGGGGCTGGTGCTGCACCAGGGCCCCTAAAGAGTCTGTGAAGTGGCTCGTCTTTAAATGGAGTGCATGGCTTTTATGGCAGCGCTCAGTCATATGGTGGTAATAGCAGTCTGGCACTGTGGGTAATTCGATCTGGAAATTGACCAGCCATCGCTTCACTCGGCTCCCCACTCAGCCCGGAATGACGAGAGGAGGCTGTCTGATGGACTCCCTTTCATTGGCTGCGATGTCATTTCCTGTGCTCACAGGCTTGAAGGTTGAAGCAGATGAAAGCCAGTGTTTAGTGGAATAAGACTGCTCAGTCTGAGGTTTCAGGATGCACTCGATGGACTTGACTTGGATTGGGCCCATAGCTAGTGGTGATGTCACACTCTTCTTATTGGTTAGCTGAACTGTCTGTGTACTCTGCCCTATAAGACCTGGTCAAGATGGACGTGGGGAGGAAGTCCCCCTAATACTGGATTAAAAAAATACCCTAACTGTTTGGCTTCAAGGTTTCATTGCACCTTGAAGTGGGATATGCTGATTAAACATGTGTCTTGCTCTGCCTAATTGCTTCCTTGGGAATTAGTGCTCGGTTTACTCGGTTTATGCTCAGCTTTGTTCAGTCGCCTCTCAAAGACTGAAACCAAAGCTCTGTAACTTGGGTTTGTCTCTCCTGGTGGTGGGGGGGGGGGGTTGCTTATTCATCTATGGCCGCAGTTCCTGCTTACCCAGGCAGATGGATCAAACCAGCCTGGTAGAAATTAGCACTGGGGGATTGAGGCCTGTGCTCCCCTCTGTTAGGGCATACTCAGACTTGATCAAGTTGTCTCGTACTGTGCCTCATACTGGCCTGTACTTGCATTGCGCTTAAAGTTCTGGGCCCAAGCATGCTTTCATCATCCTTATGCAGCTTTTTGTGTTTGACAAAACATAGGAAGAAAATAGCTATCACACAGTACTGATCACCTAAGGCAGTTTTCCACCACACCAAGTACTGTACTTTTGTTACTGTACTTTTGGTACTTACCCTTTTCCATTGACTTTCGTTCGAGTTCCAGTACCAAAAGTACCTGGGGTACTTCTTTGGTACTTCAGTACTTTGGGGTGGGACTTGAAATGTTTTCACTGAAACACAATACAGCCACAATCTTAAAATCTTACATCAGAAAATGAAGTAAAAAAAATATATTAATTAAAAAGAACAGATATAAATAAATCAGGATGGAATGATAAGAAACTAAAAAAGTATTTTATTTAATATACTAAGGACAGTATGTATATTGATTTTGTTGTAAAAAATATTGGGGGTATTTTTAAAGCAAAAAGGAGTTCATAAATTTCTCACAAACCTGTCTAGGAGTGATCTAAACAGCAAGGATGAAAATTATTATGGTTGTCTTGAAGAATGCATGCATCGCTTATGCAAAAGCAGTCAAGGTAAACTTTAAACTGATTTTGAAACATATTAGATAATCTATAAAAGGAATAATTAAAATTGTAATGATAGCTACGTTTTTTTCCCTATGACGAAGTATAAATGTTTTAGCCAAACAAACTCTCTGCGCTGTAATGCCCGTACAGAATTGCATATTAATGATAATATAATAACATAATAAGAATAGTGTCCGCATAACATACGATGTTGGTGTTAATATCGCACCTTGCCCAGCCCTATAACATACTACAGCAATTTTTCGAATTCAATACAAAATACCCTGCCTCACGTTGTGATGTCATTTGGCACCGGTACCAGTTTTTATACCAGTGGAAAACCAACACCTTGAAGTACTGTATTTTTGGTATTTTCGCGGAGTACCAAAAGTACGGTACCTGGTGCAGTGGAAAAGCGCCCCTAGTGTGAGTTCACCCTTACGCCTAGTGGACTGGCCTGTAACAGTGAGGTCAGACTCAACTGCAGGGATTTTCTGCATGTTTTCTTGGTGTTCTTTAAGCAACCCCCCCAGCTACCCAAGTAATTGGCTAGCTACTCTTAAAGGTACCCTGAAAAATGATAAATAGTGTGCCAAACCTCTGTGTGAAATGTTAATTTTCAGACATACTTTGTATTTGTATGTATGATAGAACATTCTCACACAAGTGTTGATAACCACCCACACATACTACAAGTGGTCTTGGTCGCATTAATTTCTCATGCAGAATACAGGCACGCTGATAAACCGGAGTGGACTGTCAGGAATTGGATTCACTTCCAGATCTGACGTGCATGGCTTCTCTGCTTCTGAGTTAATGTATAAGTCTATTAAGAAAATAATGTGCTGTGATCCACTTATACAAGACAAGACCAGTCCTATATCTACTGCTTCCCTGCAGGTCAGCTGACCTGACATTTAATACCTCCCTATGACTGACTGGCAGGATTTTCCTCACTTCGTCTGGCTCTGCTTGATTCGACAGGTTTTTTCCCCTCATATAAAAATGAAAAGATTAAATCTTCTTCTTTGTCTTCTAATTATTATTATTATTACTGCATAAAGGTGCAGGCCAAATTTGTCATTTGCATGCTAGAAATTGGGATTTGTGGAATGCAGTCCGTTGCATTTGCTAAGGGAAATCGTATTTGACCCTAGTTGTACATAAAATTAGCGTTATGCTGAACAGAATGGTGTACGAATTTCGCATTTGTGCATGAAGACATACAGAAGATATGTTTTTCAGTCGCTCTTTGCAGTGATGCTGTCTAGCCTGGACTACGGCCCCAGTGTCTGTATGTGTCCCGCTAGCTCTTAGATCCTCTCTTGGCTTTGATCCCGGTGGCAAACAACCTGTACGGATGGGAGGAGCGGAGAAGGCGGATTGGGGCCGCATCACAGAAGACAGCAGCGGGATGGGCAGGCCTGGCCTCTAAGAATCTGCTGCATCGACAGCAAAACTCAACCTTGAGTATTTTGCAGATGTTGCATCAAGGCTCTGAGTGCAGTGATGTAAGGAAGGATTATGGAGAGGAGAATAGGTGCATGTTCCTGGAGGTCCCAGAGCCTCCTCCCTGGTCTTTGTGAGATGTTTCTGTTCCCTGGGTGGGACGTGGCTGTGGGGTGTCTCTTGGCACAGATTTGAACTTAATCGCATTTGTGTTGGTTTGGGGGTTGGGGGTGGTGAAGTGGGGGTTGCCTAACTGAGCCAGGAAAGCGGCTGATTTTGAAAGCCACAGTTGGGACCCCTTGGGTACGTTGTCCTGTGTCTTGTATCATGCTATTGCTGCGCTTTGCCCTCATTACCATTGGCTTATTTGTCCTCAGTGCTATGCTTTCCTGCTGCAGGGCCCTCGGGTGAGCAGCAGTCTGTAGGGAGCTGAACCAGGTCGACACATAGGAGTCAGGAGGGGTCGGGCCCACAGCAATCGAGCTCAGGGGGCTCAGTCTGTTAGAGGGGAGGGTGGCCAGGGACTGAATGGTCTGCCACTTGCATTATGGGTAACTCCTTTGTACTTTTTCTCTCCTTGCCTGCTTTGATGTATCTTCAGTGAAATGAAAGTCCAGCACCAGTGGGCACCAGGGTTTGGTGTGTGTGCAGGCTCCTCCGTCCACTTGCTGCTTGCTGCATGAATGGCTTTTAATCTCCGTTCCCTATGATCTCTTCAGAGACGCTAATTGGAAAGTTTACAATCTGTTGATTGTGTGTCTGTGTCCATGCAGGTCACTCATTTTTTATTTATTTATTTTTTTGTCCACCTGCGTGTTTTCCACAGCTCTGCAGCTGTGAGGTCACATGTCTGCTGGCAACAGGGGTGCAAGAGCAAGGCCTGATTGAATTCCCTTCCGGGAGACACGCTGGACCTCGTGCTTCAGGACCACGTGACATGCATGCCTGAGGTGTGCTCCACCCCTCCCCACACCACCCCTCCTCAGGCCTCCTGTCTGCCCACCGTAGATATACTACTGTGATATATGATGAAGTATCTTTCCAGGTGCTGTGTCTCTGTCTGTGTGTGTGCATGCGTGTGTGTGCTGGTTCGCTGACATCCCTAAATCTTCTGTGACTTGATAGCCCACTATTGCTGTCTACTTCGCACGACTGGGTCACATGATGGCAGGTGGCATGGGCCCTGCTTCTCCCTCCCTCAAACGACGACGAGCATGATTGCTCGTCTGGCTGTGCAGTGATATTGGGGGCCTGCACCACATCATTAGCAGGCAGCCAAGGTGGTTCTGGCACGGGACCCGCAGTGGGCCTTTGTGTTCTTTGTGTTGTTACTGCTTAGGGCCCAGAACCTAGAAAAGGTTACTGATGCTTTTGAATATGTATACACAGACAGCGCCATCATGATGGGTTCCTGTCCCGAACCCTCTTACAGCCCCAGTGTATCCATATCACAGATAAAGTTCCCCCACCTTACCGCTGTGCCATTCCCTTGCTCTGTAGCATCTCAGCTGTTTAAAAGAAAACGCACATGATCCCCTTGGTGTGGGTGGGCGTGCCCCAGCCCATGGGGCATGTTGACTCTGAGGCCCTACCTGCTAACAGTCCCTCTTGTCTGCAGGCCACATGGCCACGCCCATCCACAAGGATGCATCGAGAGCTCAGCGGCCTCGAGGCTTATGAAGGGGAGACCCAGAGCGAGTGTGTCCTCTGACAGGCCCAAGCTAGCTCCTCCTCGTACACACACACCGGCGCACATACACACATGAACATTCCAGGTATTCTTATCTTTGTAGGGACTCTCCATTAATTTCTTTGGGCATAACCCTAATCCCAACTATGACAACCTTAACCCTTACCCAGTTCTAACCTGAATCATAAGTAAAACACAAGACTTTTGGCTATTTTAGTTTTTTTTGCATTCACTGATTTATTAAAATTTAAAAAATGTCCCCACAAGGTATTAAATACAAAATACACACACACTCACACCGTGGGTGTATAAGTGGCCTATTATTCAGTCTTATCTGGCCGGATGGGATGTTTATCTTGAGCGGAGGAACAAAAAAGACAGCAGGCATCTAAAAGGAAGTGGCCCGAGGCCCCAGCATGGAGGGAGATCTTGTGAGCTTGTCTTGCTGTGTTAGGATGTCTTTCTGTGTCTGTGTGTGTCTGCCTGTTTGTGTGCTCACACCCCTGCCATTGCATGACGCCCGGGGTGACACACCCATCTTTCACGCCGCCCTTGTTCTTTTTGCCTTGCAGGACGCCTGCTGGAACATTGTGGGTGAAGACAGCTGCTGGATCTTCTGAGCCTTTTCAGGTACCCATGGTGCATGAGCTGTTGCTTGGTTTTGTCCAGCTGGTTACCAGAGCGGGTGTATCAGGAACAGCCAGCAGGTGACTGTGCCACAGGGGTCAAAGCCCAGGTATAAGTAGATCATCCACCTGGCTGATAAGATGTTGCACATTGTGATCGTGTTAAAGCAGAAATGGGTTGGGGGGGCATTTATTTAAAGTATTTTACCTTGTCTTTGATATCCCCTGATTTCATCAATTCAAAGAGGGAAACCTTTTCCTGTTGTTTATTTTGTGAAGGATTGTACTTCGATCTAATCTAATACAGTCCCCCAGCTCCGCCCCCCCAAACCCCCGCTCCAAATGTAAGCAAACGATTAGCTGGCTTGGCCAGATTCAGCAGGCCACTCCTGGCAGAGCACTCTGCTCCCTTCTGTCACCTGGAATGTGCAGACAGGCGGCCGTCCCCGGTCACGTGCCAGTCCTTGGAACGGGAAGCAGCCTTTTCACTCATTTTTTTATGTGAATGCAGCCCTTTATGCTGAGCGTTTGAAGGCTGGCCTCTTAGCTCTCCATGTGAAATGCACTGTGTCTTGTGCTTGCACATGTTTTTTTTCCCCACATATATTATTTGACTTGTGAGGTATTAGATACATTTGTCTCCTGATTTTTTTTCCCCCTGGTGATGCAAGTGTTGTCATTTTTGGAGAAAACCAAGTTCAGATAGTAAACTTCTCACCCTGAATGGCACTCTGTACAATCCGCTGCACTAGCACCGGTAGTTCAGTCCCCTCCCCATCTTTATTATATTGGTTGTGGCCCCCCGGGCTGTTGGCCGCAAGCTGCTCTTCTCCAGATACACACACTGTTTGACCAGCTGCTCTGTCTCTTTCTCAGTCCTGGGGCTCAGTTTTCTGAACCTGCTGAGTCATTCCAGTGTAGCTGAGTTGATAGGATCCCGCAGAAACACTGTGCAGGTCAAGGAAACACAGCACCCCTTTTCAGCTGTGCGACAGCCCTGGCATTAAAGCCTGACAACTGTGCTGTGCTGTGACAACGTCATGTTAAGCTGGACTGATGAGTCTCATGGTTGCTTTGAAGGCGCCTTTATCCGTCAGTCATTCTCCTGAAAATCTGTTAGAGCTGCTGCTACATGGGTCCCTCTTGTGGAGGTGCTCTGCTTAAGCGGGAGTCAGCAGGTTCTGTCCCCTGCATGCTTGACTGGGCTCCTTTTTTGGTGAAACTCTTTACCCCCAGCACGAGTCAGCCTGAGATTCAGTCTTGCTGAGCAAGCTCGCGGCCGTCCCCATCCAGACGGCTCTCAGTGGCAGGGTCTGTGCCGGACAGACGGCCGGATGGACACGCAGGGATAGCATTGGGGGGTAGGTGGGGGGGCTGGACCCCGCCTCAGGTGAACTGGGGGCCTCTCTGCACCTTTGGCGAATATGTGCAGAGACTCACCATGTGTTCACATACTCTGCTAGTGTGATAATCCGAGATGCAGTCCTGCTTTCACGCTCATGTCAGCAAGCTTTGGCCCCATTAAAGGGGGAACAGTCCACAGAGGAGGTGTTCAGGTCCCATTTGGATAGCTTCAATTTTATAAAAACCTGTGAATGCAATCAAAAAAGTAAAAATGCCAAATGTCTTATATTTTGTTTAGTTACTTATGAAGGGTAGAGCAGGGTTACGGGTGTCGTGACTGGGATTAGGGTTTTCCCCCTAGAAATGAATGGAAGGTACGCTAACGGGTGTGTGTAAGTGTCTACATATGTGCATCTGGGCCTCTGTGTGTGTCTGTTTATTATGAATGAACTAATGGATTTGAATGCTCACTCAACTTTTTCAGTTTAAACTATTGCTCACTGATGTGCTATTGCCTTATCAGGAGACTTGTTTTCTCTCCTCTGGCTGGTGGAAGCCTTTACTACTGTGTGTTTCTCTGTTTTATGGAAACCTTTGTCTTGTGTGTCTCCATAACGTGACAGACAGCTTGCTGTTGTCCGTGTCCAGGTACCCTGGGAGAATTAATGTGGAGGTTTTGGGTGGCCTGTGAGTTGGTTGGTGATGTCTCGTTTCACACAGGCACTGTCAGTGGCCACCTGCCACTCTGGTCCTCTGTGGGCTGGCTTGAGGCAGCCTTGTCACATGCCCCTTAATCTGTGTTATCTGTATGTGGTTTGGTCATGTGAAGCGCAGCATTGGGCCCTCCAGGGGCTGAGAAGCCAGTAATCGAAATCCAGATTGGTCAGTCGGGGGAGTGTTAAGGTTGTGTGAGACACACGTGCCATAGTGCTTTCCTCAGGCAGGAGAGAGTAACTCATCAGAGGCACTGCACACCCACATGGGCGTTTCATGTTAGCCGCTGTGAACCTGGCGCGCTCCAGGCGTCGTGCGACTCTGCTGCAAGGCGCAGGCTGAACCCGAAGTGCATGCTTCCAGATAGAGCCTCTGGCCCGGGGCAGTGTCGGGTTCAACGTGTCTGTTTGGCTGGAGCTGAATAGTCATCTACAGCACAGGTTCAGGGAATGGGGGCGGTGATGAGGCCTGACATCAAACTAGGCACCATATAACCCTTCCAGAGTCACATTTTGGGAGGTGGGGCTGTAAACTTCCCATAGGACAGGCAACATGAGGAAGCAGGCACCTCCCCAAAGAGCCTACCCAACAAGGTCTTTATTCATCACTCACAAGGATCCTTCCCTTTCTGTTTGGGTCATCTTGAAAACGGCAGCACTTTCTGTCTGATGATTGGAGGGGGAAGATATCTGATGTCAGATGTTCTGACGCACGCCCTGCATCTCTCGCTTCTCTGCATTTCCCCCTCTCCCTCTCTCTCTCTCACGTACCCCCATGTACTGGGTGATATAGGGTCCCTAAAAGCCCTTCACGTGGTGTCATAGGAGTCAATGTGTGTGTGACGATTATTTGAAGCTGCGGGCCATCTGCTTTGCTGCACTGTCAATCACCCCCCCCCCCCCATTCCAGTCACTGCCCTGTTCAGTGAACCCCGTCTTTTGGCCGTGCGCTCCCAGGAGCGGCATTCAGGGAGTGGCATCGCTCCCAGCCACCAATTTTCCCTGTGTTCTCCCAGCAGGAATAACAACCTGAGGACGGACGTGCCAGGATGACAAGTGCTGCCCCAGCTAGGAAGCCGTACCGCAAGGCCCCCCCACAGCACCGTGAGGTCCGCCACAGCACGCCCGCCTTTTGTGAGGACCTGAGTGGCACCCTGCCTGGCCCCGCCACCACCCCACCAGAGTCCTGCCAGGTAACTCCCCTTATGATCCGTGCCCCTCTGTTCAGGGACCTTTACAACAAGCACCTCGGTACCCAAGCCGACTTTGACATCTTTTCATGCTCCTGGTCCCTGGAGTCAGAAAATGAGCCACATGCCTCCAATCAGCAGAACCTGGATCTGGTGATATTCCCCCCACTGCGGGTCTTTGGCGAGAGCAGATTTGCTGTGGCGCAGCCCAGAGCCGTTTATCGGTCACAGCGAAGACCAGCTTGTCCTGTCCGGTGATAAATGGCTCGAGTCAGGGCATTCCTGGGATGTTGCCCCAGTCCTTCCTGGAGCGGTCGCTGGTCTTTAAAGAGAAGGATGAGGTCCTGGTCCCTGGTGCCTTGCAGATACCACCCAGAGGGATCCTGACGCAGCCAACCAGCAGACTGAACACTCAGGCGGAGAACCTTCGCAAGTCCAGGTTTGCTGACACACTTGGCCTTGCGAGGCTGCCCAATATGGAGAATCTGATGGTGTCCCCTGACCTGGAGCAGGAAACACAGCTCACAGATTGGGCTAAGGTCCATTCAGCACAATACATTTCCATGACATCTTTACCTGGACTGGATGCTGCAGCTCCTGGAAGAGAAGTTCTTCCAGTTTCTGGATTAGGTCACATGCCAGGTTCTGAGTTCAGCAAGCCTCCAGATGCTAAGGGTGTCACAGATGCTGGGCAGGAGGCCCAGTCAGCCCCGGCCAGGGGGCGCCTAGCTAGCAGCGAGCAATAGTGACCTGGAGCAGACTGGCAGTCCAGCAGACAGCCAGCCCAGAATCTCCTTTCCATCAGGATGGCCAAGATGGGCAGCCGGAGCCCGATTTGCACCAAGCAGATGGTCACCAGGGGGCTGTTTATCCCAGAGGGGAGGTGGCAGCCTATGGGATTATGGGAGGGGGTGACCCCCAGGCCAGCAGCGACACTGATGGAGATGTTGGATCACAAGGGGCGACCTTGCGGCCACACCGCCAGCTGGATGCCAGCACTGTTTGGAAAGATATCGGGGACAAGGGTGACCTCAAAAATGTTCAGTGCAGCTGTCACAAAAGCTGGGGCCGCATGTTAGCAACACCAGGCCCCGTTCAATCCAACACCTCCCCCAGCTGGCTGTCTTGCGGCAGGTTTGGGTGTCGTAGCACTGCGTTCAAGCTGGTCGTTGCTTAGCTACGCCAATCTTGATGTTGAGCGCAGTCATTGAAATTCAGTGCAGAGTAATTCAACACAAACTCATCGTAATATGTCAGCATTTTTTTAGTGTCACTTTTAAATCTAGATTCATCCGGGTATCCTCCCGTCTGTGAGACGGTTTATGCACTGTGATGAACAGTCAGTGAGATAAGTGCCCAGGGGTTTCACTGCTGGCCCCGTGAAATATGCATGTGCTGCGATAATCTGGCTGCTGTCAGACTTGCACGGCTGTTGTGCCTGAGTGGAGGCCAAGGCACCTTGGTAACTGGAGCGCAAGGTGGAACAGGACACCTTGACGGCCCGAGGAGCCCAAGCCTTTGCCACCGTAAACCATCTCTTAGTGGCTCACTCATTTTCACTTGCATATATTAGCAGTATTGCAGACGCTCCATAGTGGCTGTCCTGGCCTCACACTGTGTGCTTTTCGGCCGTCTTGATGATTCAGGCATTTACTGTTAAGATTGCTCCTGATGGCCTTTGCTGTCCTCCAGTGGACAGACACCAAGCAGGGATCTGACTGCATGTTCAGCATGTACTGAGTATCCTAAGCGTCCTGCTGCACTAATGCGCCTCATGCATGTATTGCAGGGCTCCCCGTCGGATGGCGACCGGATCAAGTAAGTTCAGCTTTTTTCTGCTTGTGTTTGGGAGTCATGAACATGCATGTAAAACGTTTCTGTGGAATGGAGTGGATTCCCACACTAATGACTGTCTGATTAGCCACAGTGGAGTATTGCCATGCCTCCGGGGGGGTGGTGGGGGTGGGGGTTAAAAGGCTGGACATGTGGCTCAGAGGTACCTCCTAATCTAACCTGACTTAACATTACCAGCTGCATGATCAAGCCCAAATGCGACTCACAGCAGACCATAATGATAACTAATTATGATGGTGGTGGAGATGATAATTGATGATGATGTCAAATTGCTGATAATTAGGTAGCTAGGTAAATGTTGGGCAGCTGGTGGAGTGGCTGAAGTGTGCTGCAGTCTGTCTGTTTGGTCTGTTTGCAGTTGTCTGGCGAGACGCCCCCCACCTGTGCTTTCTCTGTGGGCTGTTCAGCCTGACCCTCCCTCCTTATGGGGTTTCCCCTCCTGCTTTCTGCTCCTGCAGCCCATTTTCATTTTCTTTGCCTGATTTCCCTGTCTGAGAGCCGGATCCTGTGTGCAAAATGTGTTTTCACACGTCCACCGCGCCAATTGTTCCTGCTGGCCCAGATCTACAGATTTGAAGATCTGACATGAGGGGCTGTCCCAGATCCAGTGCCCCCCTCCCCCCCCGAATCAATTGGCCTACACGCAGTGTCCACCCTGGCGACTGTGACTGGTTAGCGCTCTCTCGGAACCCACTGGGTTGTTGGTTCAGCCCTTGTGGGTGAGCAGTATGGACCCAGACCAAAGCCATAATGGGTGCCCCTCCCCCCCCAATGACACCGTTGTGGTATGATCCAGCACTGCTCAGCCTCCCGCACTGGAATAGACCCTTGAATTTCAACCCCCACCACCACATAAAGCCATCACTCTTAGCCTTGCTCTTGCTGGCTTTTCAGAGGACCCTCCCCCACAGCAAGGCTCCGTCCCCAGAGCGATGCCCCACCCTAAAAGTGAGGCCAAGTAGCTGTGACTCTAAGGCTTACAGTCACACCCCTTAAGCCTTTGGTTCCTATCTAATCCCCTTACACACAGCATATACAAAAAGAGATTTCTGAACGTAAGGTCATTTTCGCTTTAATTTAAATAATAAGATATGGATTTTCATTTTCAGTTCGTTAATCTGAGTGTTTGATTGAGCCTCATGGCTCTCCCCCCACCACCTTGTTTTGGTGACTGTGCTGGGGGCTTGTCCTCCTTTAACTGTTTCATCCTTCTCCTTTTTTCCCATATTGAATCCCCCTGCCTGTATCTGGCAGAGTAGCTTAGCATTAAGCAATCACTCCCCCCCCCCCCCCCCACACACACACACACACACATTCCAACCCAGCGGAAACCACAATGCAATGTAAGCAGGGGAGATATTCTTGGTCTGTTCCATCTCCTGTGAGCCGGCCGCTTTGGCTTCACTGCTTCGGGAGGGTGAATGAATCATGGCAGGCCTGCCCAGAAGGGTGCCTGTCAGCCGCAGGCTGCTTGGCGCCAGGGGAGGCTGTGTGCTGAAGTGGCCCGTCCCAGCCCACCTCAAGCAGAAGGGGCTTTGGCGGCTCCTTTCCTTTAAGACCGTCTGGGTTGTTTGGGTTCCCCTCCTCTGTCCCCGGCTACAGTCCTGTGGATGGCAGTATCCGTATCTGGCAGGTCGCAACACAGTCCTGGTTTAGCCCAGGCTGGGCCTGCGTGATGGACCCTTATTCCGTTCTTCAGCACTTCACGCTTGGGGTCTAGCCTGGTCAGGGATTCCATCACCCCCCCCCCCCAAAGGTAGAGCAAGAAAGTAGAGCAGGGGCTGAAACAATGAAAGGTTCAGCAGGTGTGTTTTTGTATTTTTTACACAGGGAAATGGAGTTTCTCCCTTCAAGATGCAGCATGAATCCTTCATGGCCATTCACCTCAGGCTTTGCCAAGGGGGTTTTAGGGAGTCAGGTGCTGGAGCCTGGTGTTGATTAAACATTCCGCATTGACCGGCTAGTGGGCATTGCCGACCTGGCTTTGTGGGAGCAGGGGGCTGTGCGGCATGTCTGTGTCTGTGCGGCATGTCTGTGTCTGTGCGCGTGTGCCCACCTGCAGCTCCCACCTCCGGCCCCACAAGTCTGTTTACAGGGGGCTGCGTGTTGGCCTGTCCCCTGACCCCTAATCTGTGCCCTGACAGGTCCCTGCAGCAGCAGAATGAAGAGCTACGCAGGCGCCTCAGCCATACCACTCACAAGATGGAGGCCATGGAGGCGGAGTTCGAGGCCAGTCGGCACTACATGCAGGCTGAGATGGGCCGCGCCAAGGACGACCTGGACAAGATGCGGGACAAGTTTCGCCGGTGAGGAGCCCGCGGACAGCATGCCGTTTAATTGGTGCGGAGGCTGGGCTCTTATTAGCCATTACTGCTGATCTGTGTTTAGGCTTGTTACACACTGGGTGTAACGTGTGTGGATTACTGCTGTCTGGTGCCAGAATAGCTGGGGGAAGGTCTCTCTGTGTGCACATGTCTGTGCATGCGAGTGTGCACTTGTGTATGCACATGCAGGACTCTGTGGAGTGACAGCCAGCCTCTGAGCCTTGTTCAGCTTGTGACGCCCCCTCTGCCTGTTCCCGTTAGCAAACGCCTTCCTGATCAGCATTGTGCCACACAGTGGGTGGGTGTCACTGGGCTTCCCGGCCGTCTGGCATTCCCAGCCGTGAGGTTGCCAGCTCCCGATGCCTCCCCTCCGTATCAAAGAGTCACGGTCTGCTGGTACTTGCTGGCACTGGGAGGCAGCCGTCACCCACATGGGCCCAGCGCCCGGCCGCCTCTCCCTACTTGCTCTGGATTTGAGCCCTGAGTGGAGCATCATGTCTCTGCAAGCCAACAGTCCATGCTCCGACCTCCCTTCGAGGGTCACAGCGGAGGGGGTGTCGCATTAGGGGGGAGGCCTTTAACCATGTTACTGTGCTGATCTGCGCAAAACAGCGATTAACAACCAAGATGCACTACTTAGTCACCAATACTGAGAAATCAATTAAAATATTGCTGGTTTGAGCTGAAAACTCAAATTTACAAAGAATAACAGCAGACAGGAAATGAAACATGGTCAGGTTAAGACCCTCTCCCATCTCCCTACAGCTCCTTTAGCTGCAGCTGCGGTTTTGTGGGAACCTGTGCAGCATAATTGGATTACAATTGATTAATAATTAACGGTGTTGTATAGTTACGTCAGCTCTGATTAGCTCTGTCTAATTACACATCTGTGACTATAATAGCGATGGCTGTTTTTAATGGAAAACAGACACGCCCACAAATGCACGTTTGGTGGCTCGGCTGTAATTTCCCACAGGTCGTCTCCTCTTCGCCTTGTTTGGTCCCTGCAGAGATTAGGATGTCTGAGCTGAAGCTCCCAGGCACTTTCATTTGCCGTTTATATGGATGCAGTGGGCGTCTCTAATTACGCTCTGGCCCCTCATGTCCCATGCCTGCGGGTGCCTGCCTTCACACTGCAAGGGGGAGCATCAACGGGAACGTCGATCTAGCAACCCGGGACGCCCTGAGTGGGGCGCTTTCATCACATCAACATTCTGAAGGATGCATCTTCCATGTCTGCTTCAGTGTGGATGGTGGCTTAATGGTTAGGGAAGCGCACTTGTAATTGCAAGACTGCTGGTTTGAATCCCCGACCAGCAAGGCACCACTGAGGTACCCTGAGCAAGGTACCGCCTCCAAGCACTGCTCCCCAGGCGCTGAATTAGCTGCCCCCTGCTATGTCACCATGTCACATATGGATAAAATACAGAGGACACATTTCATTGTTGTGCTCTGTGTGCTGTGGTGTGTCAGCAAATGACCACTGATCACATAATTCTAATTCATCAGTACAGGTGGAGTCCAGCACCAAGGGGTGTGTGTGTAGAGAATGCGTGTGGGCCATCAGCTATCTCATTCCACCGCGGCACATTGATGGCTAGTTGAAAAGAGCAGCAGAGGAGAACTGGGCCCCTGAATTTGGACCCCCCCTCCCCTCCCCCATATGTGTCTGTGGGTGATGGAGCCTGAGCCTCTTCTTCTTTTTTCTCCTTCTCCTCCCAGACTTCAGAACAGTTACACTGCTTCCCAGAGGACCAACCAGGACCTGGAGGAGAAGCTGCATGCGCTGGTAACGTTTGACCTTTGAACTGTTATCAGCTCGCAGGAATTGTGGGTGCTGTGCAAGCTTAATGTCATGGGAGGGCTATAAAGACATGATTAATATTCATGTACGGTATTTATTTAAATACATGTAATGAGCTATGTTTTATACATGAGTGACTATTTTCCTTTGTGGGGGGGTTCCTCCTCACCGAATGAATTCAGCAATGTCATGCAGACTGTAGCCTTCTTAAACTGGCTCATGGTGCTTTTCCACTGGCATACAGGAACCTTCACGTACCTGACCCATACCACGAAGAGACACTATTTACGGCATCATTCCGGCCTGCTTCGATTTTCTGCAGCAGAAGGGTCAACTTGGTAAAGGCATTGCCGGGTTTGGAGAGCAACAGTGACATAAAACCAAAGAGACACTTATTCACTGTTCACACGGTGTACACCATGATGTACTATGTGCTATTTTCTACCAGCACATGTGAGAAACACTAGTGCATCAAACACTAGCGGAATTAGCATTAGCTTGTATAAATTTGCATTATCAATCCATTCCGTTCTGTAATACTTTAAGCAGGAGGTTGAAAATGTTTCAAGTTTCAAGGTATCAGGAATGCACCAATACATCATAATGTGTAATACCACTAATACTTAATAATATATAGAAAAACCTTTTTCTCCTTCAGGTAATCCATGCATATCAACACAGATCACCACTATCTCCATACATTTCGATCAGTCAGATGGTGGTGATGCAACCAGCTTGGTTTAGTCAGCTATTAGGCAGGGCCATGTCAACACGGGTACAGCTCGGGTACAGCTTGCGTTATTTACAAGAAATATCCATGTCTTCATGGTATGGCTTGAGCATAGCAATGTTCTTAAGGCAGTGGAAAAGCACCATTTGCCCCTATGGTGCCAGTAGGTCACTTCGATCCATCAGTTTTTCTGTTCATTCACCACAAGACCCCACAATCTCACCCCATGTGCGGTAATATGGGCCCCTCCTCCTTACGTACGGCCTCTAACATTGGTGTCCCGGGCAAGCCCACCCTAGTGTGATCCTGATAAACTCACCATGATGCTGAGATGTGTGAGTAGCATCTAGTAGAGGACCGTGTAGAATGAGGACAAGCTTCCTCTTCCGAGGGTGGGAAAGCTCAGCCTGTAATACTGACTCCAAGTCAGGCATGAATCAGGGCTGAGGGAGTACGAGAGGGATTGGCACCCACCCCAACTTCCGATCATGCCACAGTGTCCTGTTCCTCATAGCCCAGCCGTTTCCCTGACAAATGTATGCGTGGGGGTGCCTGGGTCCCCTCCTCACCGAACGTAGCCCCTCTAATAGCAGGCCAGAGGACTGAGCTGCAATCTGGGGTGATATTAGCTGCGCCTCCCTCTGTGAAGCCCCATACCAGCCCTGGCTGCGGTGTCACCTGTGAGACTTCCACCTGGAGGGGGAGGTCGCTGTGACTCAGAGCAGCCAGCAGAGCAGCCACGGCGATGTCTGTGTACGGGTTGTTCATGCCGGCTGCTGCCACTTCTGCGTCCCACTTGTTTATGAACCCTGAGTCAGGTTACACTTCTCCCCATCTCTCTCTCTCTCTGTCTCTCTCTCCATCCATCCATGCTGCCGTGTTCCTTCCATCAGGCCTCCATCAGTCAGACCTGGGTCCACGCAGTTGGGTTTCATCCTCTTTCTCTGCTTGCTTTTTCCTCCCCTTCCCTTCCGTCCTGCTCTTTCTGGACACTGTCGAGCTGCAGTGCTGCCCATCTCTTGCCCTAGAAATGCAGCTGCTTCGGGATCGGGGCACGCTAGGCTTCTGCCTCAGCCTCTGCTCCCGATCCCCACCCTGTGGCCTCACCTGCCCCGACATTTGGCTAAAGGGGGTGCCTTTGCGAGGCCTGGCTTGGTTGTAGTGCATAGGAGGCTTGCTGCCACTCTGTGGGCCTGGTGGTTAGTACCACCCCCAGTCCCCCCCCCCACCATGTACTTTATTATAATGGGGGGTTATGGGGGGCTCCTCTCCTGTTAGCAGGCGGTGGCTTGATGTCACATCCCAGGGCAGTGCTTAAACCTCCATCGCTGTTTGACGGGGCAGACAGGATTACAGATGCCCCCCAGTGGCGCTCTGTAAGCGTGGCACTTGCATGCGGCTCCTCGGCCCACCTTCGAAACGGCCAGTTGACTTCCTGCATGGGAGTGTTCACCGCCAGCAGAGGCAGATGTGCGCTGTGACCCTAGGGCTGGAGTGTGGTCTGCTGCTCCATCACCTCACACCACCGCATCGATCTGTTTGTATTGCCCCCCCGCCCCCAACCTGCTATCTCCACAGTGCTTGTCTCTGTCGTCTTGGCCTGCCTAGGTCAGCAGCGCTTCTTAATCAATGTGGGGGGAGATCCCCCCCCCCCCCTTTAGAGCACTTAGGCCTCCCAGTGCTTCTCATGTGGGTTGACTTTCATCTCACAGCTGTCCTCCCCCCCTCAGCTTCGCAAGGTAGAGCAAGACAAGAAAATGATGGACCAGGAGATCGTGGAGCTGACCAACAAACTCCTGGATGCAAAGAACACTATTGACAAGATAGAGGAGTTGAATGTAGGTGTCCCCTGCGTATGGGTTGCTGCCCAGCCCCCCTCTCACTAGGCTGGCCCCACCCTGGTGGTACCTCTCTGCACATGACGGACTGTCCTTAACGCTGCTCCGCTGGGAACGCCGATTCCACAGGGGCCCTGACCTTGTTCTTGTCTCCTCCAGGAACGCTACCGGCAAGACTGTAACTTGGCGGTCCAGCTGCTGAAGTGCAACAAGTCCCACTTCAGGAACCACAAGTTTGCAGATGTGAGTATCCTGCAATCTCTGTCGACCCTCCCCTCACTTTCCCTGAGCTCCTCCAACATGCAAACATGCAGGGTCCAATCGGATGGATGGGCCAGGTAACATAAAAAGAAAACCACAGAGCTGTAATTCTCCCCCCCCCCCCCATACACTCCTGGGGAGTGAGCAGGCCAGAGACCGATAGGGAGTTTGCTGGGTAATGAGGGTGAGAACCTCTTGCAGTACCGTCGGGGGCTGGATGAGGTGGTCATATGGGGTGGCTGGTTGCCGCTGTACGGGGCAGTCAGCGAGTCTCATGTCGTCGTGTGTGCTGGTCTGTGCTGGTGCTGAGTGTGGCCTGTTCCAGCTCAGTGTCCCAGCGGTTCCGGTTTAAATAGTGTGCAGGGCATTCCGAGCTCGTTCTCTCCCTGGGAGTTTATTTCCACCCTTAGGAAGGAGCTGTGGGCTGGGCTGTTGGTGTGTGACCCAGCTTCCTGTGTGGCGGGAACACTGGCGCTCCCCCAAGCTTCTCCAAGCTTAAATGTATTTGTTTATAAATGCTGGCACTGACTCATCTCTGCCTGCCGGGCCCCAGTGGCCCATTAGTGCCATCACTCTGGGCACCGCCTATATATATAATTCACTGGCACCCTGCAATATCTGGCATCCTGATCCGTCCTGGCTGCAGGCTCTCAGACGGCGCCGCGGCCACTGACGAGGGCACAGCCCAAGCCCGTGCCTAATAGTCTACTGACCAATGGGACACAGGATAAAAGCTGGCGTGACCCAGGGGCAGCACAGAGAGAGGGAGCGGCCTTCCCTCCTGTCACACAGCCCTGACAGCTGCTGGCTCTGGTGTGAGCCAGAGTGTCTGCGGCACATCAATCTCCGCCAGAGGCTGGTGTAAATATGTCAGCAGCGGGCCAGACACCTGTGAGCCGGAGCCATGAAGGCATCTTCACGGCGCCACTACCCAAATAGCCCGTCTGATTAGGGAGAGCAAGGTGAGCTTTGCAGGGAGCTGACAGTTCTGACCCATAGTGTTGGGAGGCGGGTCGGTATCTTGCGTATTCTTAGTAATGTCAGATGTGGTTCTGGGCTGACTCTCTCCTCGGCGGTGGGGGAGGTTTGATGAGGTGGGGGTATCGGCAGGCTCACACCGGCCACCTCCCTGTGACGTGTACATGAGACAACTGGTCGGGATTGTTGGCTTCCTTATTTCCGTCTGTTTCCACTGATCGATGCAGCGCTGCTTTATTCATTCTGCTCCTGTGACACCGAGCTGAATCAGGGCCTCAGGCCTTTGATAACCATGATCTAGTTTTGGTGTCAAACTCTTACGAAATGGGTAACGGGGAGTAACCTGGCCATCAGCCAGTGCCTGGCTAGGTGACCGCCAACTCGCCCTGCTAATGGCTGTTCGCTCTCTCTGCTCCATACCCCCCTGGCCACCACCACCCCACCCCGTTTCCTGGGTAACAGGTGACCCCTTCTGACCCTGTTAAGAAGTATAGAATTGATGGCGAGATGGGAGGGCAGGCCTGTACACAGCAGGGCGGGTATTAAAGTTGTGAAATGCAACACAGACCCTTCCCAAACTCCCCTCTAAATGGACACCCCCACCTCCCAGCTCCAGTGAGATTTAAAGCCCCTAATTATATTTGTCCTGTTGCTTTTTGCTGGTGTCAGACTGTGGTTATCTTATAGGCTTAAAAGTGCATCCAAGTGAAAAATAAGGCTTATTAGGAGTGTCAGAATCATCTGGAAGCGTCCAGTCTTCTACTAGATTCTGTTAAAAGCACAGCAGGCCATGAAATGTGTATGGGGAGTCTGTCAGTGGATGAGGGTTGCTTTTTATCCCCCACCCCCCCCATGATGGCAAATCTGTGGGTGGCTTCAGAAGCCGTCTTCCGTGGCACCATGGCCTGCCTGACACTGCCGCCTGTGGTCTCTTGCAGCTGCCAGCTGAGCTGCAGGACATGGTGAATAAGCACATGAAGAGTAGCCTGCCTCAGCGGGGGGGCCAGGCCCCGGACGCCGACTCGCTGAGCCTGACGCCCGCAGACGTGGTGCCCACATCTGTCATTGCCCGCGTGCTGGAGAAGCCCGAACCACTGGTGCTGAACTCTGCCCAGTCTGGCAGCAGTACGGGCCGGCCTGTGGCGGAGGACGTGTTCGTGCATGTGGATATGACGGGCCCCCAAATGGAGGGGCCCCCGGGCCCCCAAATGGAGGGGCCCCCGGGCCCCCAAATGGAGGGGCCCCCGGGCCCTGGACGCTCCCTGGAGCAGCAGCCTCAGCAGCAGAATGGAACATGCCGCAGCCATGCCAGCCTGGATGGGGAGGACGGGGGGGGTGGTGGGGCGGTGGCCCCCTCGTTCGAGAAGCTGAACCCATACCCCACCCCCCCGCCACCCCACCCCCTCTATCCAGGCCGCAAGGTGATCGAGTTCACATCCGACGACAAGGTGAAGATCCCCAAGAATAGCCCGCTGCCCAACTGCACATACGCCACGCGGCAGGCCATCTCGCTGAGCCTGGTGCAGACCGACGACGAGGCTGATGGCGGCTGGCGCTCCGGGGCCTCATCTTCCTCTGGTGGCCACCCGCGCCGACAGGCCGGACCCGACACGCCGGATGCTCTGTCAGGCCGCTCCAGCCCACTGGGCAGCCCCACTCCAGTCCCCGGTGCCTTCGGCAGCTCCGCCAGCTCTGAAGAGGATCTCCTAGCCAACTGGCAGCGCATGTTTGTGGAGAAGATGGCTCCATCCTCAGAGGGCAGCCTGGTGAACCGTACCTCATTCAGCAGCGAGACCGCCATGGAGCTCCAGAGGAGCCGCGACGGAAGGACGGACAGGACCGAGGCGGCCCGGCAGGGTACCTACTCGGACAGTGAGGAGTCAGCAGTGCGCAGCTGGACGGCCAGCCGAGAGTCGAGTGTGGAGGCAGACAGTGGGGCAGAGCCGCGTGTCAGGAGGGGCCACTATGGAGTGGAGTTCTCCAAGGAGGAGAGTCAGAGGCTGTTGATGAGCTTGGAGCCCGTCGAGGATGGAGACAGTGCCGACGTGCCCGATGAAGCAGCGTGTTCCGGGGTGGGGGGCAGTCCTGACACCCGCAGGATGGAGTATGCAGAATGCGGCTCGGGGGGCAGCTCGGCAGAGGAGCGCGACATCCTGCCCCAGGACCTGCCTGTCATCTCGCCCCGGGGCCTGGCCACGCTGGAAGACCATATGGAGAATGCACCAGCCCACCCAAGCAGGCCTGGCAAGAGCCCCAAGAGGATGGGCGTCCACCACCTGCATCGCAAGGACAGCCTGACACGTGCCCAGGAGCATGGCACCCTGCTGGACTGAGGGGGGAGGAGGGGATCTATCTTACAGATATGGCACCAGTTTCCTCCAGAAGGGGAGTTTCTGTACCCAGCACCATCCTCCTTAAAAGCCCCCCTCCCCGGCAGAGATACATATCTGTGTTGGTAAATAGGAAACTCAAATGATTTACTGTCCGGAATCTGAATACCCTCCCCAGCCAGCGTGACCCAAAAGGAGAGACATGCCCTACCTCACAGGGGAGCTTTTCTCTGAACTCACATCTCTGGTACTGTGGCAACCAGCCGCCCACTATTATCTGGAATGGTCTGAGGTCCCACTGTCCCACTCACTCACAGTGCCTAACCGCGAACCCCCCCCCCTCCCCCCAGCATCGAGTCATCCCTCCGGCCAATTCTCTACTGCAGCACCTTGGCTCCTCCTGGTCCTGCTCCCATTCCTGGGTCCTGGTGCAGTGGCCTCAGCACTCCCTGTGGGCTTTAGGACACCGCTTCCTGTCTGCTGGCTAGAGGAGGAGGGACTCATGACAAATCAGTGTTATCAGGAGGCTTAAAGCGGCTAGACTGCTAGCAGTGTTAGCAGCATTAGCTTGATCTGTGTTGTTTTGGCCAACTCAGTCCATGGAGGAACAGGGCTGTGGAGTTAGCCATTAGTGGTGAATCAGTATGATCTTTTCCCCAAGGTGGGTCACAGCTCTGTTCTGTCATTGTCCATGAAACATGGCCACCTGTGTCTTGAGGAGTCTTGTATCCTTCGCTGAGAGCAAAGGTCACACCCCCCGTATCAGCTGCCTTCACTTCAGAAATGCGCCACTAACACCAGCTGCACCGAGTCCACCAACATGCAGACCATTTTGCCGCTCAGTCCAGATTGGTATAATAGTGTAAACCAAAGCTTCAGGCTGCTGGCTTGGCTCGCTGGCGGTTCTCAGACTCTCCCGAAAGGCACCGCCGGTCTGTAGTGCCCTGTTGTGTGTTGATGACCAGACAAGACTAACTGTCCCTCCCACGGGTGACCAGTGTGCGGTTGGCTTACCCAGCATCCTTTACCACTGCCCCCCCCCGTCTGTCTCAGCACATGGAGGGAGGCGGCCTTCCCTGGCGGGCTCCTGTCTGCCCCCAGCTGCTCAGGGCCTCCCCGCCTGCGTGTTCTGTCCGCCATTAAGGCAAGCTCCGTCTGTTAGGCCGCACGAACACAGCACGGACACCATGCAAATCCGATCATTTCAGACGAATGCGCCTAGGAATGTAAACGCAGCTGTAGCGTCCGCCCGTCTCCATCTCCTACACCAGGCTCACTTTTATTTTTGTTTGTGTTTGAGTTTGATGTCTTGCTGTAGTGAAAAAGGAAGTGTGTTAGTGCTTTTTGAAGTTTATGTTTTGAGGTTTGTTTGCCATGTTTGCCATCTCCCACTCTGCTGACTATCTTGGTGCTGTTGTCACCTCTAGCGCTGACGCTCGTTGGGGTGGCCGGAGATGTAGGATGATTTCTGTTTCACCAGTGTTGTTTTTTTTTTCCCCCCGAGGGGAAGAGTTTTTCAATCATGATGCCTTTAATTGAAGTAGACACACTCCAGCTGTGTGCTTGATGCTCACTGGCTCAGTATCCTTCTGAATGGATGTGTGATATCACTATGTATGTCTGCTGCATGTGCTGGGACACAGGACCCAGATTCCCCTGTGGCTTCTCACAGAAACACACACATAAGGCTGCTACCCTCAAAAAGCACCATGGCCCACAAATTCCCCCCAGAGGCTCTCTCCATTAGCCCCCCGGATTCAATAATTTACCGGCTTCTGCAGCCTGAGGGGCCAGATCACTCCCGCCCCCCCCCCATTCTTTTTTTAGCTTGTAGTGTATTGATTTTTTTCACCACTTCAAATAAAAAGCTACTAATATAAGCTCATAATTAATAGTTCTAACAGACCTTTCTAATAAATAATGTAGACTTTTTATTTGACTCTAAATTAGGCTCCTGATGGCAGGAAGAAGGAATCATTCATCACCGTCCCACACGTGGAATTGGCGCTTTTAAATACTTAATGCCGTAAGATGTTCTGGAAATAGCGCTCGCTTTGTTCCATGTAGATCCCGGCTGCCATTTCCTCTCGTCCACCTGCAAGAGCCACGTGTTCTGCGGTGAGGCCCTGTCACAGTGTGGTCTGCCTGTTCCAAACCAAGGTCACCTTCTCCATCCTTCCCCTGAGATGAGGGGCCGCTTTGGCCCTGGAGGTGCCATTGCACGCCGCACTTGATTCACAGTGAGGCTCTGAGACACCGTCAGAAATCATCCGCAGTGATACTGGGCTGTATGTGCACCCATAGCATGGGGGGCAGTGAGAGGCTGACCTCATCCCTCGTTCCGAAAACAGCCCCCTTTCACATTGAGCTCACCTTGCAATCCAAACCCCTGTGTCCCAGTGTGTGTGCAGACCGAGAAGCTTATAGTCAGGAACGACTGGCGATGTGCAGTCTCCATACTCTGAATGTGTTTGCAGCTCCATGACATTTCTTTCATTTACTGGGTAAACTTAGCGTGATGTCATTTCAATCATTTTTCTTTTTTCCTCTTCTTTATAAGATTTTCCTTGATGTGAAAATATCCATTAGTGTTTTTTGGAGCACATTTTTCAAAGCTGACTACAGCTTCAGGTGAGCTCCTCATGAGGTGTGTGTGCGTGTGTGTGCGTGCGTGTGTGTGTGTGTGCGTGCGTGCATATGCGCGTGCCGCCAATGGTGTCTCCACAGTACTCATCGCTGGCCTTTGTAAGTAAGGGGTGGAGTATTTCTATGCTATGTCCTCCTTCCTGTGGGCCCGGGCACACGCACGCTACATGCCCACTGGTGTGCTGTGACTGTTACCATGGAGACATGGTTCTGTCATGTACTGGGGGGGTGAGGTGGTCAATGTCTGTCTCCTTCCGTCCATGAATGCTGTCCTGTTTCCATGGCAGTCATGCCGTCCTTAGATTCTCTCCCAGTCTCCATGATTTTGTAGCTGCACCATGTGATTTTTATTTCTTCCCTGTACAAACTGATTACTAAAAAAATACAAAAAAAGACTGTTAAACCTGTACTAATTTTATTTTCTGAATTTGTAAACCAAGGATGTATATTTTAAAACAAATAAAACTATTTTAAATGTAACACTTGTCATACCCGTGGGTTTTCTCTACATTCTTCATTCTTGATGTTGACAAACGAATCATTCATCATGGTGAGGTGTATTAATTTTTTACTTCTTCAATTGTGTTTTATTTAAGGAGACAAGGGGGCCTATGGATCTATATATTAGCTGCTCAGATGCCCCCTGGTGGGAATAGGGTGGAAGTGAAGTCCTTAAAGGGGTAGGTTACTCCACAACTGAAGAAAGATATGTTTTAGATGAGGCTTTAGTGTTATCTATCCATCTTGGTTGTTCTACTGTAAGTGATATAGTTTTGGAGATATGGGCCATAGAAATGTTGGTCTTCTCTTGAATATAATGGTACTGAATGCCGTTCTTTCTGTGGTGTTTAAATGACTAAAAATACATTTGAAAAAATCAGCAGCAGTGTCTCTTACTAGAAATCATGACCTGGTCAGTCAAAATAATTGAAAGGCACCAGTTGTATCACTGCACAGATGGTATCACTGGGAAGCTCGTGTTTGTGTCTTCTGCGCAGGAATACGATTGGTGTGTGGAGTTTGGTAGCAGAAAATGGTTCCTACATTAAACTGCTCATTACAAAGTCTGTGCTTTAATCGCTACAGAAACGCTAAAGGAACTGAGCAAATTGGATATGCGAGGTGAAGACGCCTCGTAGCGACAGAAACATTGATCTGATATGTGGTATTAATTATACACAATGTCTGCTGAATGGTTTCGGCTTTCCTGTGACTGGTGTTGTGTGACGGTTTGGTGGGATGCTGGTACATGTCACGCAGCTGCTGAGTGCAGGAGGGGTCACAACATCCGTTTTGGTAAAAAAATGTCATCCAGTAGGAGGATGAAGTTTCATTAAGATGTTGAGTATGAATGTGTGGGAGGTGGAGCCGATATGCTTTGCTTGCCCCTCACTTGTGTGGCTACTGCTCTGGTCCAAGGTACCTGCACACTGAAGTGCTCTCTGGAACTAATTATGCATATCAGACAAATTCAGACCTGTCTCTCGCTCTGTACCAAGGTCCCCGTCAGTTTAATGAGAACCCTTCACGAGGTTGAGGCCATCAAGACCAGCATGGTGAACTGTTAACTGCTGTAACAGCACCCCCTAGAGGCAAGTTGGGCCAACTGTCCCACTCAAAGCTTTGGGGACCGTGGTCTGTTTGACTCTGGTCGGCTAAATGGAACAGAACTTTCTGGGTCCCTTTTTCCAGAGCTACTGAAATGTATGCTATTTAGCAAAAAGCTTCAAAAGGAAGCGAATTGTGGAAAAATCCACTTTGCAGAGAAACTGGATGCGAAGTTGCGCTGCTGCGTTGTCATGGCAGTGGCTCATGGTTACCAATCTTCCTGGTGACTGTGCCTAACCTATTTTTGAGTTGGCCTCTGGCTAATGTTTCTCCAGAACAGGGATCCATCCCTGTTTCACTCAGCTGTTATTCCAGAGGTCATGGTTAGGCGTGACCCTGTGGACTGGATTGTATCTTGTGATTTTCCAACTTGGTTAATTATAGCTGGGTTGCCATCATCTTACTGAAGCAATATTAAACATATGGATGGTTAAAGCTGCGTGGACTCCTGCCCAGTTCTGACGGGTGTCCCTGATGGGTTCAAAGGACAAAACTCTGTGGCTCAGGTGCACTTGGTCCACTTACTTGAGCTACTGTGCTTGTCAGTTTATCTGTAGTGCCCCCTGGTGTTGAAATAAAAAAAATTCCCACATTTCTGTTAAGTAAATTGGCAATTACTCTTACACATTAATTGAGAACTAAATAAGTGCTTTATTCTGACATGGGACCATAACAACAGCCTTAATTAGGTGAGCTATCTGAGCATACATTTCAGCAGATATGTAAATTTTAAATATCTAGTTATAAATACTGTACATCTTGAAAATAAATAGATTACGAAGTAGAGTAAGTCACTTGGTGTTCAAGGTTTGTGCCAGATAAACAACTTCTATGTACAAGTGCTAAAGGTCATGCAAAGTGATTGGTTGCTCGCAGGCAGGTGACCTTGTGATGTCACATCTCCGTCTCTGCTAGCAGGCTGTCGCCCAGGCCGGAGGTAACCAGGACCATCTGGGAGCTGGAGTCTGGAGGGCAGAAACACCAGATATGAGACATTCTGACTCTGCACTATGGACATGCATGGAGCATGGTGTTCCTGTGAGCTATAGTGCGTGTCATCTTCTGTCATTGGGCAACCTCCCCGGATACTTATGGGCCGATTCCACCAGAGAGCCTGAGTTTGCTAAAATAAGCAGACACACGGCCAGAAAGGCCACTGCTATCTGAGGTCAACTACAGTTGACTTTGGGATAGCAGGGAGGAGTTAAACTGGAAGCCAAGCGGAGATTAGTACCACTGGCAGGCCATCAGCGGGAAACCTTATGAGGATGAGGAAGGCTGGGAAGACCTTAGGAAAGTCTGCTACCTTCTGATGATATCAACCCCCAGCCACTGCAGAAAGCGAGTGAGCTTGAGGAGACCCTAGATGCATGAATATTCTTGCTCTCTAATGAAATCCTTGGTGAGGATTAGCAAAAAGATCCAAGCATAGCCCCAGTCAATGCAGGTACGTGATCTGTGTGATGCTAATACCCACCAGTAGGGGGCATTACTGGGTTAGAATTGGTTGCTGAATGGTACGACTGCAGAACTGAACTGTAGGGGTCCTTACTGCTGTGTGGGAGCCAGGTGGTCTTCTCCCTGGAAATTCCACCTACTCCCCGTGCCTCCCCCTCCTTGTCGTCGTCCTCCTCGCCCTCCGACAGCAGATCTGAGATCTGCTGCTGCAGCTCGGGGCTGATGGCATTCTCAGCCAGCACTAGCACCCGCAGGCAGGTGGGGTAGTTCTCCACCATGTCCAGGAAGATCTACAGAGGCACCAGGGCAACATCTGCAAGTTATCCATCATGCAATTCTCTATTTTCCTTTCTCATGAATACCATCCATCCATCCATCAACTTCTGCTTGTCTGGGGTTCGGGTCGCGGGGGTAGCAGCTTCAGGAGAGATACCCAGACCTCCCTCTCCCCAGCTACCTCTACCAGCTTTTCGGGGGGGATGCTGAGGCGTCCCCAGGCCAGCCGAGAGATATAATCCTTCCAGCGTGTCCTGGGTCTGCCCTGGGGCCTCCTCCCTGTAGGAAATGCACGGAAAACCCCTCCGGGTAGCAGCCCAGGAGGCATCTGCACCAAATGTCCAAACCACCTCAACTGGCTCCTTTCGACATGGAGAAGCAGCGGTTCTACTCTGAGACTCTCCCGGATATCCAAACTTCTCACCCTATCCCTAAGGGAGAGCCCAGACACCCTGCGGAGAAACCTCATTTCGGCCGCCTGTATTCGCGATCTCATTCTTTCGGTCCTTACCCATAGCTCATGACCATAGGTGAGGGTAGGGATGAAGATGGACCAATAGATCGAGAGCTTTGCTTTCCGGTTCAGTTCTTTCTTAGCCACGACGAACCGGTTAAGCGCCTGCAAAACTGCAGACGCCACTCCGATTCATCTGTTCAGCTCTCAATCTCGCCTACCCTCACTCGTGAACAAGACCCCAAGATACTAGAACTCCTCCACTTGAGGCAGTACCTCTTCCCTGACCTGAAGAGGGCAATCCACCTGTTTCCGGCTGAGAACCATGGTCTTGGACTTGGAGGTGCTAATCCTCATCTCTGCCGCTTCGCACTCGGCTAGGAACCGCCCCAGAGCACACTGGAGCTCCCCAGCAGATGAAGCCAACAGGACGACATCGTCCACAAAATGCAATCCTGAGGCCACCAAACTGGACACCCTCAACACCCTGGCTGCGCCTAGAAATCCTGTTTATAAATATTATAAACAGGATCGATGACAAAGGGCAGCCCTGGCGGAGCCCAGCCCGCACTGGGAACACGTCCAACTTATTATCGGCAATGCGGACCAAGCTTCTGCTCCGTTCATACAGGGATCAAATCGCCCACAACAGCGGACCCCGGACCCCATACTCCCGAAGCACCCCCCACAGGGCACCTTGGGGAACCCGGTCATAAGCCTTTTCCAAATCCACAAAACACATGTAGACTGGATAGGTAAACTCTCAGGCCCCCTCCAGTACCCTCGCAAGGGTATAAAGCTGGTCCAGTGTTCCACGGACAGGACGAAAACCACACTGTTTCTCCTGAATCCGAGATTCAACTGTCGACCTCACCCTCCTATCCAGTACCCCGGAATAGACTTTCCCAGGAAGGCTGAGAAGTGTGATCCCCCTATAGTTGGAACACTCCCTCTGGTCCCCTTTCTTAAATAAGGGGACCACCACCCCGGTCTGCCAATCCAGCGGCACTGTCCCTGACCTCCACGCGCTGTTGAGAAGGCGTGTCAGCCATGACAGCCCCACAACATCCAGAGCCTTTAGGTACTCCGGGTGGATCTTGTCCACCCCCAGGGCCCGGCCAACACGTAGCTCTTTAACCACCCTGGCCACCTCAGCCCCAGTGATGGGCAAGTCCCCCCCAGCACCCTCGGGCTCTGTGCCCTCAGATGTCTCAAAGGCAGTGCGCGTAGATGTATCTGAGGCAGGGTTGAGGAGGTCCTCAAAGTATTCCAGGTGATGTCCCCAGGTGAGGTGAACAGCTCCCCCTCCTCACAATAAATAGTAGGAACCAGGAGCTGCTTCCCCCTCCTGATATTCCGGATGGTTTGCCAGAACCTTTTTGAGGTCGACCAAACTCCTCCCACGCCCGGGTTTTTGCTTCCAGCAGGCCACGTTCCGCTTGGCCTGCCAGTACCCGTCAGATGCCTCCGGAGACCCCCAGACTAATAATTCCCGGTAGGCCTCCCTCTTCAGCTTGACAGCCCCCCTCACATCTGGTGTCCACCATCGGATTTGAGGGTTACTGCCATGACTGGCGCCGACCACCCTGCAGCCACAGCTCTGTATGGCTGCTTCCACAATGGAGGTCCATTCAGACTCAATGTCCCCAACCTCCCCCGGTATGCAGTTGGAATTCTGCCGGAGGTGCGAGTTAAAGCTCCGGCGAACAGGAGCCTCTGCCAGATGTTCCCAGCAGACCCTCACTATGCATTTGGGCCTTCCAGGTCTGACCTGCTTCCCAGCAAAACGATGGAATCCCCTCGTGGCACGCTAACCAGCACACCACTAAGGGAGCCCAAGAAGGCCGAGTACTCTGAACCGTCATTCGGCGCATAAGCACAGATGAGTCAGAGACCTATCCCCGACCTGAAGGCACAGGCAGACAGCCCTCTCGTTCACCGGGGTAAACTCCGTTGTTAATGCACCGAACTGCAGGGCCACCAGTAGCCCCACCCCCACCAGGTGTCGCCCACCTGCCACAACTCAAGTCACATGAATGCATTTTTGCATTTTACATGAATGCAAATTTTGAATTTAAATTTGATTTAATTTTAAAATGAAGTTCAAAGTCAGGGGTCATAAAAACTTGAAAATACAGTTTACTTTTGAAATTTAACCAACTCCACTGCAAAGCCAGCATTCTGCAGTCCCTTGGACTGGCTGTTTGATTCCCCTGTTGTATTATACTACACAACACAGCCAATGACGGTAGATGTTCTCCTGTGCTCTCTGTGGATCCGAAGCAGCTAATTTTGCCTGTAGATGGCGGTAAGAAAGTCACCTAACTGTTGGGGCAGCAGTGGAGCTATGTACCTAGGGACTGCTGCCAGCCTGAATTCCAGATGACAGTCTCACCAGAGGCCGTGGGCATTTAAGTTGTGTGCAACCAAAAGATCTCTTAAAAGTCCGGTGCTATCTGATTTTTCTTACTGCACATATACCTTCTGTTTGTTCTCTTCTTTTTTTTATGTTTTTACTTTTTTTCGGGACATTATTGTGCTTTTTAAACGTGCTATGGTTGCTCGTCCACACTGTGTCCTGTTTTGAACTTTGTCTTGTTCTGCACTATATGTCTGTTTGTGTGCACTTTACATGCCTCGCTGCTGAATGTAAAAGAACTTCCCCAGGATCGATAATACTTCTTGTATTACTGAGACCTGAGTGGGTTCTAAATCCAGGTGATCAGCATAAATATATTTCCACTCTTTAAGAAACACAGTGAACCAGAAACTCATTAAAGAAGCACCCAGTTCCCACTGCAAATCGCTGCTTTTACAGCAAATGAGATTGAGCTCAGGAATCAGTCTTGACAAGAGGCACCCTGGCATAGTTAAAGTGTGCTTGGATCAAAGAGAGAGTTGTGTTTGACTTTGATGCAGTCGCCTTGAGCTCCCTTCTGCCTCCAGCTGTTCGCTCTCATTTATGGTTACATGAGATGCCTCCTGCGGGAAAAGCTGATCACCTCCCTAATTGGGCTGTCAGGAGACACATTCCATTCCTTATTTACCTAGATGGTGAGTTAAGGGGACATGCTGCCACCTTGTGGTTGGTAATAAGATATATATCATTCTGGGTCTATTATGCTCGTTACTTCACAACGATTTATTTTTCTATTCAAATAACTGTACAAAGACGGATATTTTATTTAAATTATTTGGGTCAAATGTCTCACTAACGGACACCTCTGACAGTCTTTCATGGGATGCAAACCCACAGTCCATGTCCCTAAACACCACTCCATCGCTTTATTTGCGTAGGCTGGCACACACAAACGTATATAATTCTCCCAACAGACTTGACAGTCTGCCTGGCAGCTAATTTCATGGCATGTCATAGCACCAGTGCTCTCCTTTATATGAAATGCACTAGAGCACTATGGGTACACAGTCACAATAAAAGTAACGTTTTTGCCTTTTAAGAGGCAGGACTTAACAAATTCATCCATGTTCTGGGGTCATTAGGATCCAGAGCCTATCCCAGAAGTTATGAGCGCAAGACAGGGAATATCCTAGGACAGGGCACCAGCCCATCGCAGAGTGCACACACAGCATTCACACCTATGGACAATCTGGCAATTCCAGTCGACCTCGGCATGTTTTTAGACTGTGGGGAGAAACCAAAGAACCTGGATAAAACCCCATGACAATGGAGAGAACATGCAAACTCCACACACGGAACCCAGGCAGGGACTGGAACCCAGATCCCAGTGGTGTGAGGCAACAGCGTTAAACACTGCGCCACCATGGCACCCATAATAAAATCACATTTAACTTTATAAATGTTAGAAACTAAGCACTATTTATTATTGTTGGGCACCGTGACAGTAATGTGTGAAATAGACATTCTGCTGATTATTCGCAAGACTGACCTGTGCAGACTGGTTTGTTAGACTGGTGCCCTCCAAGTCCAGCACCTCCAGGGTCCTGCTGGATGCCACAGCCACCGCCAGCATCCCCGCAATCTGGTCTCCTGTTAACCAAGCAAATACAAATGAACTTGCTGAAACTGCAGCACGTGATAACATGAATGAGCCATTTGGTCAAAAAGCCGAGACGACCTTTTTTTTGCTTCAGGGGGGCAAGAGGGCCAGATGGCCAAACATAACGCAGATCCGCATCTGGGATCACACCCGGACACTGACTCACAGACAGAGTGCTGAATACGGTAGGATATTTCTTCAGTTAACATGACAGGTTCACAACCTTATGATTCATTTATGTATCACCACAATTCCCCATAAGATATTATAAAGGTGCTTTTCTCAAATTTAAACAGTATCAAATTACAGTTGGGTGCCCAAGCACTTTGTTTTCGGTGATTTGGTTCTTACCCAGGGGATTGTAGTCCAGGTTCAGGACCCGGAGCTGCGAGCTGTGGGCCACGGCGATGGCCAGTCTCGCCCAGCCTTTGCCTGTGATAGCTGGGTTCGCGCTGAGAGTCAGCTCCCTCAGACCTGGGGAGAGGTCAGAGGCCATCATGCTTTTCCTAGGAAGGCTATCTGAGTACCTCTGAAGTCTCCACCTACCTGTGATATACAACACGTACCCAAGTATGATGTTGAAGACAAATGAACTATAATTCTTGTTTTGGTATCAGAATGTAAATAAACAATTTTATACTACAAGCTAGCAACCCCACCAAGAGAAGCATGCAGTGGGCTATGCAGTGTCTTGTGATATTTTCCTGCCTTGGGTGAGCTTGTGCTTCCCATTATGCATAATGTGCCAAGTGATAACAAAATCAGAGTCGTCTTCTTTTTCTGTTATAAAATTCAACTTTGTTTCAGAGATGAAGTAGTACAAAGTAGTGACCCACCCGCAGCACCAATGAGAAGTGCAAACAGTCACTTGGGGTTTATTGAATCACAATGGCAGCATTAATTTTTGTGCTCAGAAGTAAGACTAACTTGAAGGTGAATGTTTGTGTCAGTATGTCATTCAAGGCGAAACACATGAACTTGTGACAGAATGTGCCTGTTTTGACCTGGTGGTGTACAGAGGGGTGCCAGAGCTGCACTCACCCTGACAGTATCTGATTAGTAAAATACAGCCCACATTGATGATGCACAGATCATATCTGGGGTCTGGTTGGTGGGTAGGTGCTACTTTATATAAGAGGGACAGCACATCTGCTTTCACAGCTCTGATATATATTTTACAAGTGTGATTTACCTTTTTAAAATAGGATTGCAAGAAAAAAAATGTTTGCATGTTGTCATAAAATACCTACTGTGTGGATTGGTCAAATACTCTGGTACATTTGTAATGATACAAAATTTACAGCTGGAAAAGTAAAAATTATTACTCATTGTAATCTAGTCAGAAAATGAAAGTGTTCCATAATAGCATGCTGTGTCTCAACATAAGTGCCTGCGTATTTTTAGTGAAGAGAAGGAGGGAGATGTCCTGTGAGAGTAACTCCCGTGGGGAGCTGATTAGTCACCATCTCTTTGAAGATTGAGACCAGTCTCCTTCAAACCTTCTGTCTTGCTGCTGCTTTGCGTTCTACGTTTTTCTCTGTCATCGTTTCCCCGCAACTTGATGAACGGTCCTTATCTCGCCGTACTGTGTTCTGATGGCGATCTTATACGCATATACGTTATATACTGTATCTTACCGGGTAAAAGTCGGGGGGGGGCTGCAGTTTACCTGATTTCGCCCCGTCGGGAGGGAGCATGCCGCAGATGAGCTGCACGGCTTCGTCCCCCAGCATGCAGTCTCCCAGGTCCAAAGACACCAACGACGGGTGCGTCGACAGAGCTGAGTTTAGGGCGACCAGACCGGCGTCCAGCAGCGGGCTGCCGTGCAGGCTGTGGGCGAAGTGGCAGCGGAGACATTTTCTGTTACATTAGGCTACAAACTGCACTCATTTATACCACCAGATAGTAATTAATGCATCAGTATACATTTTCTCTGGAGTAGTCCGTGCCGCTAGTAAACTTAATTTTAAGAGACAACGCAAACGTCGCCGAAATTCCAAGCTATGTATAATTATACTAATTATATCTTACATGCCAGGAAAACATGTGGTTAAGAATTTTATGGCATTTGCGGCTTTTATGAACTATATGCAATGACTGACAAACCCCAGTGTGCTGTAATCTTACATGGAACGAGACCATCCCGACAAACTTTAAAGTCGTTTATTATTTTTATTATTTTTATTATTAGTAGTAGTAGTAGTAGGAGGAGGAGGAGGAGGAAACAGTAGTAGTATTGTTATTACATTTTGAATTAGTCTGGATTGTTCCTCAGAAGCTGCTGTCCTGACTTTTTGAAGTTGAAGATGACCGGTGTGAGTCGCATAAATGCAGTATTTCTATAGGATGCAGGATCAGGTTACTGCCAACGATGCGGCGCAGCGTCTTGGTGCACATGCACGCTGAATGGATCGTTTATAATAATAATTTTTTTATTATTATTGTTAATACTACTACTACTAATAATAATAATAATAATAATAATAATAATAATAACAGTTAATCGTACTTACAACAAAGTCTGAACGGATCGGTTGGTCTTGAGGGCATCGGCCAGCTGCTTCACCCGACCGATGCTAGATACCACGCCGAGGTTGAGGTTGAGCTGTGCCAAGGAGTGAGAGTCTGCGACCCCGCGGCAGACCCGTCCGAAGTCGCGGTCCGAAAGCTGGCAACCCCGCACCGACAGCAGCCGCACGCTGTTCTCTTTCAGGCTGTCGCAGATATCCTTAATTTCAGCCCCTGAGAGCGCCTCTCCGGTTATCTGAATGGAGCCGGGTAGCATTTCGTGTGAAGGTGGCTAACCCTTCATTAAAAAAAATGGAGACAGGCTTAAGAGAGAAATGGGAGAGGTATCGAAACCGATCGTATGTATTAAAAGTGGTCAACGGGTACAGCCGAGCCCACACGGAGATGGGGAAACCGGCGATTATCCGCCCAGCTAAAATAGCAGGTCACACGAGTTTAATTATAATGCGTTATAGCGGACGAATGTGTGTTTCCCGCCTCCCTTCTTGTTTCCGACGGACTATCGATCTGTTGGATGCTGAAACGCTTAGCGTGAGTAAACCGGCTGCATTCATCGTTTTAAGACGCAGATCGATCCATTCGCGGGTATCTTTGTGGCTCCCGTATAAAATAATCGGGAAGACGCCGCTGGGTCGGTTTGAGCCGCGCACTGAGTTGTCCCCCTTGCTGAATTATTAATAAACGTGTGATGCAGTTTATGCTATGCGGGGGGCTTGCTAACACCGCTGCGGGTATAAAGGGACGATGCGCGTCTCCCTCCGTCCGTCCAGCCCGGTTCACATGCGAGTCATGCTGCACGCGCCGGCCTTCAAAGCGGGGACGCTCGCGGTTTTGTTTGCATCCGCTGCAGGTGTCGGTTACTATGGACACCCCATCTCAATGTCAACCCTCCCTTAAAACACGAGATAACGATATACGTCGCCTCTCGTGGTAAATTGAGCTTTCTGTCCCACGAATAAAAAGGGCTTTGGCCAATATGCAGGGAGAGCACTATTTCATTTCACGCCAGTAGTGAAATGCATCCTACCCATTTGTCTGAAAGTGCCGCAAACCGCTAGGAGACAGTGCCGGGCTCTAAGTGAGCTTCTAAGGAAGAACGGGGAACGGTGGCTGGCAGGACAGGAGGCAGCTATCGGGTGCGATTAGTCACGCCTGGCCTTACGTACATTCTTTAAGTGATTATTTACAGGGCACCCCATACCTCTAAAATGACTGTCGCCGATCCCTCAGTTTAATGACATAAACGAGTTTTACCTGCATCCGTTAGGGTTCACAGCAAAATATGCGCAGGTACAGTATGAACAGTTCAAGAAGACTTGTATCTACTGGCTGAGTTTCAGGGTCGGAGACATCGGCACACAATAATCCAATTAATAATAAATCCCAATAGGCTTTCACAATGGGGACTCTGACTCTGCGGGGGGCGACGCCTCAGATTAAGAGGTGTAAGGGGAGCCCGAAGCCCATCTTGTCAGTGTCTTTTTACCTATTGTACGGAAGGAACCGACCTCTTTCCGACCCCGGCGAGTGGGTGCGCTTAAATGTTGACTTGAGGTCCGATATTTGAAAAGCAAAACGAGTCGGTAATAAGGGTTGACAGCATAATAAAAATGTCACCTGTTAATTATGGCTCCGTATGTGTCCCACACTTCACAAAATTAAGACGCATCTGGGTAGCTTGCATGCATGTAGTGAGGTCTCTGTACAAATAGACCACGGTTATTGTCCTCAGTCAAAGCATTGTATTTTTTGAAACTACATATAACACGGAGGTGAGTGCATGGTCTATAAAGAATGCAAAATCGATTCAATGAAATAAAAATTAGTGGCAGAACTATATGTGTATAAAAGGTACCAGCTCCTGGGAAAAAGCGAAAAAAAAGTGTCTTGTACCAACATATCTGTAATCTAATGAGCTTCGTTCGAACCTTTAACAGGTTATACTACATAAAAAATGTATCTTTAACATTTTATAATGAGGGCATTTGTTTCCAAGTAATACAGTGAGAGGGTAAGAAAAAAACTGAGGACTGAGTTCAGTAGACTTTATTTCTATGTACACCATGTCTCTCTGTCTCTCTCTCTACACATATATATATATACATACACACACACACACACACAATAAAAGAATTGGCATGGAATCAGTATCATGCTGTTGTGTACAAATGTGTAGAAACCAAAACTGAGAAGCAAAAAATTTTCATCGAAACTCAAAATTTAAGCCTGACCTGCCATGAAATTTGTACTGTGGAAAGTAAATAATCGATTCCTAAACTGTCTCTCGCTTTAACAGAGCGGCTGTAACATCTGTCCTTCATTGTATCATACCATTGTTCCCCATTAACACAAGAAAACTATAAGTCAAAGTTTGACAAGCCAGAGGCATATGGTCATGCCCAAAGTCTCCCAAAAAGTGCTTAGTCAGAGTCCTCCCTCCGTCTGACAGAAATCTACTTTATTTTAGAAACAAAAGCTTTCCCCATTGGGCACAGAACGGACAGATAGGTTCCAGGCCAGCTGTCAGCCGTCATAATGAGCAAGTTTATGCACAGTCATGTAAGCGTTTACACTTCATGTCCAACACAGGATGGGTAATAATGGAGCTCACCGTGAGTTAACAGGAACCCATCCTACTAAGAAACAAACTCACCAGCGTGTGCTTTCAAGACACAGAAGAAGCACTGCTTCACAGAAAGACCACTGTGACAGTCAGGGTCTCAGGGTGTATATGTTAACTCATGTTCCTCTGGCATTAAAAAACAAAGATTACAGTGCGGGGAGTGGCAGTCTTTGCCAGGTCACGCCATCACTGTGCCTGCAGGGAAATCCCAAGGGACTTGACCGTGTTGTTCACCAGATGGGTTGCCACATCAGGCAGATCTCTAGCGACCCTCTGAATGGGGGGGACATTGGGTCCTTCCAGGGTGTCCAGGATACCTTGGAGACAAAAGCAGAAAACATGGACTGTGCCTTTAGCGAAGCACCTTCAGTTAACAAAATCGAGACAATCAAGCTGGCCAAATGTGACAACATTCATTACTATAAAAAAACAGCCCCAAGATACTTTAACAATTAGCACACTCTTAAATTAGATTTGGGGTCTTGAATTTAATTACTTAAGGTCTGCAGTCCGCTCTGCTTCAACATGTACTGGAAAAACTGTAGGACTCAATAACCTTGCTGTTACAAGGTTGCTAGTTAAATCCTTGTTGGTGAGGCAGGAATTTTCCATACCTTCGACAATCTTGTGGTAGGTGAAATGCAGGTATAGTAGGAAGAGCATATGCAGAATAGCCAAAGTCCCGCAGAGGATGAGACGCGGCGTCTGGCCCACGGTGCGAGAGATCAGAACACCCACCTGTGAGGAGGGAAGTCAGTATAAAGGACCATAGGGGTTTGGTGAATCACGGCCTCGTGTGCCACCTTACCATCCGAAGAGTTGAGACCCCGCCAACCACCAGCCACAGCACGTAGAAGAGCCAGTGAAAGTGGACGTTGTACGTGACAAAGAGGACCACACAGTGACCAAACAGGCCATAACCCTGTGAGACAGAGGGGACGACACATGGAATATCCGTGTGGCTTCTTGTTTCACTGGTTTGATGATGATGATGGTGGCTGGATACATACCAGCAGGGACAGCATCTGCAGCATGGTGATCTGGGCATTACACAGGTAGGCAAGGAAGAAGATGAAGGAGGAGACGCCCAGCCAATAGCCGAAGCAGGTGCCGATGGCCGTGCCCATCAGTGTGCCCTCTCTCTGGGGGAGGAGCATGGGTTAGGTAGGGCGGTGGAAATAGTAATGGATGCAGTCTCCAGAGCATCTGAGGGGGGATATCGATCCAGTTGGTTCGGTCTAACCGCCTTACGGAATCGGCCGCTTACGATCACAGTCCCGGACGTCTTCATGCCATGCAGCAGGATAGCCACCAGCGTGAAGACCAGCATCATGGGTCCATAGAGCTCCCCCGCTACCTTCTGTGGGTAGACACATGGCAGAGTGCATACATTAGCTCCCCAGCAGGCAGTGTCACCCAGAGGGAGAGCAGACACGTCTGCTGCCAATACCGTAGCTCTGCCATAGCCAACATGGCCGCCCACCTGAGGGAAGCCGATCATCCTGACAGGAATCATGGACTCAATCAACCTGAGGAAGGAGAGAAAATGGGAATGTGAGGAACAGGGCAGAACACCAGAAAAGCTGGAAGTAGGATGGGAAATCACCAAGCCAGCAGAAGCCGATCCCACATACGCACCTGTTCCTCACTTGGATTGGCTCCACGTCAAAGTAGGGTCTGAGGATGTCGATGTTTGCATAGAGGTTGAAGGCCTTTGACGCCTGCCTCTTTCCCGCCTGCCAAACCTGAGGGGATGAATTTGAGATGCATCTATATACTAGTTTGGTTCTTGAGGTTTTAGGGAATTTCACATATTTAAAGTTACTTGATATCACTACCATATGATAATATAAACTGTTAAAAAGCTGAGACAGCATGGAGATGAGCTAAGCTGCTTTTCAGTCAAGAACCTTAAATTCAGACACAGTATCCACATTTTTTCTCTGTGGTGATGCCTGGTAAAGTACTGAAGGCTAATGTAATATTTTTTATGTTATCACAGAGAATCCTATGGAAACATTTTTGTCAATAAAAACTAAAGGTCCAACTGTGTCAGAAGATTCATTAGCTTATCAACAATGGCAAATAGGGTAAAGGTACCAGTTATTTTTCCATTAATAACTTTGGATAAACACCATCATCTAGCCTCTCTTAATTATGAATTGCAGATACGACATCTCTATCTATTGTAGATATAATAGATCTGAAGTTTAGTTTTTCTTTACTTGCACTTATGAATTTTCACTCCTGACTCACTACTGCTGCAATATTTTTGTTTGCCAGAAATGGATGTCATAATAACAGATGCTAGAACATCAGAGATCTGAATTTTAGAGTATATCCACAGAGCCCTACATTACGCTTGGTGACATAGATAATATCACCAGAAAGAGAGCTAGAACTGCCACTTGTCCAGGACTTTCCAGAACCACCCTGCATTTTGGTCATTTGTCCAGGAAAAAACTATTTTCATTCCAGGTCACAGAATGTCCCAGAATCCGAGCCTTTTGAATATGTGCATTAACAACACTCATATTCCGTCATTAATAGCCGATTAATAGAAATGTTGTCTTTTTAGCCAAAAAAATGTGTACAGTTTCTTTAGCCAATCAATCAATTTCATGAGAAGGCAAACTCTAAACATGAGCTGCATAGTCGGTGATGATTGTAGCATCATGAACTGCCGCCATTGTCAAAGATAAGGTTAGCAAAAGTAAACTTAAGTTATATTGAAAATGGGTGGCGAAATAGACAAGGAGGATCCATTACAGATATTGAAACAAATATCAATTGCAATTTCCCACGCTGTGTATTTAGTACAGGAACTCCAACCAGCCAAGGTCTGCAGCAGGAGTTTCCAGCGTGCACTGAAGTCAAAGGCATTACAAAAAAATGCTTAAGCTTACTTGATACGTATAATATTAAATTAATTTATTTATGGGAAACATCATATACAAGAAACATAAAATTCATATGCTTATGGTACACTGGTGTCATGAATGTTGTGCATAATTGTGACAAGTTAGTTTTATATCTCTCTTTTATATGTATTCAGTCTCATTATGGTGGGAGTTATAATACAAAAATACTTACTACAATACTTAAAACAATGTTTGAAATGTAATAGTTTGTTATGTTTTGTACTCAAACTCTGGTGTCAAGGCATATATTTAACGAAAAAAGCATGTTTGTGGAATTTGCTAACTACTGCAGTGCATGATGGGTACAATATTTGGAGGCTACTTAAATTTAATCAACTGAAACTGCTTCAGCTGTTGTAAGCAGGTGGGAATAAGGAAGGGGGGCATGGTCCATCTTTGTTCCACCACTAGTAAAAATATATTTTATATTTTTAAACTATTATTTTATGTAAAAACCGAAGGTGTAAGGTGTGGGGTCATAACTAATGGAATAAGCTATTACATTACAGAGTAAATAATCAATTATCTATGCATTGAAAAATATTGGAGATTACACTGTCATGTATGATTATAATTTCACTATCAAACAGACCTAAACAAACTTTTGGAATGGTGTCGGTATGTGTAATATATTTGATCAATGCCGGGAACTTTACAGGACTGAGGTGATAACCCTGTTGTGGAGTGAGATTTGCAACGCGAGACAACAGAGCACTGTCAAAGAAGATAGACAAGTGATCAGGCAGAGCTAGAGCCCTAACATTAGCAGTAGGAGTACCGAGAATCTTACAGATAACCCATGCCACCCGTTTCTCCTCCACGGAGGCTCACCTCGTCTGCCACCTGGCGCCCCAGCTGCCCCTTGAAACCCTTCAT